AATTAATTCCTAAAATATCCTTAATTAACCTCTATTTAAAAAAATTTAATAAAATTCATTAATAAATCATCCATTCTTAATTAAATTCATTAAAATTCAACAAATAATTAAAAAATTCTAAATATTACAATAAAATTCATTAAAGTTTAAATTAAATTTTAATTCATTTAAACTAAATTAATTTGATAATTTGATTGATTAAGATTTATTTTAATCAATCAAATTTAATTATTAATTTAGATTAAATGGATTAAGGCCTTTATGTCTAAAGCTTGATTCCTTCCTGGAGGGTTTTAGACATTTTGATTTAAATGGCCTTTAATACATTTAAATAACAAAAAGATCCCTTATGTGTTGTGCATGACTCCTTTTAGGAAAGCAGTAACACATTTAAATTAAGGGATCTTCAAACAAATATAATAATATACCGACCTTATGTGACATATACGACTCCTTAGAGAAGGTATGTCACATTGCATTTGCAAGGACCCTTTTCTCTCTCTTTAATAAAATTTTGAGGATTCTCAAATGTATACTTGTCTTCTTTATAAGATGAGTGTTCATTTTGAAAGTCCTATGCCTTATAAATTGATAACTTCCTGCACTTAGTGGGTTATCAATCTATAAGTTTTTTAAAACTAAATCAAATAATTTTAACATCTAAAAGTGGAATAATTTAAAAATTCAAATATATATCACTTAAACTTCAATTAAATTCTCATTTGGCCTTTAATAAATAAACTTTAATAATACATGCAATTCAAACATAAATTTCTATAGGACCTATCCAAGCCACACAAGCTTTTTCACACACTTAGATGCTTGCTAGGACAACCAACTTTAGCCTAGGCTAGGCCGGTGGTTTGCTGTGGTTTTGTTTGCGGGTGTCTTGCCTAGAGGGCACCCATGTTTGTCTGCTTACTTTTATATAAATCATAGCATGCATATTTACTTTCCTGTTAGTGCACCAGAGAGCGGAGTGAATAAGTGAGAACCATGTATTTTACTTTACTGTCTTTACTTTCCTGTATTTATAACTATTCACAACGCACTCATCATATTCATAATTACATAACTGTTTTTACTTTCCTGCTTTTATATTTCTGCAAAGTAGAATGTTCTTAGAATCTGATGTACTTATAAAGAGAAATGTAAAGTTTATTTTTTTTAGATCTGTTGTATATAGATTGAGTCTGTAAAGTGTCATGAGTTTGTAAGAGAATTAAAAATAACTGTTCATACATATACAAATGGAGCTCCAAAAAGTAATATCCTCCCCCAGGAGGATGTTCCTTTTTGGAATTCCATAGAAGACTTGGAGCCTGAAGACCATAAGTAGTTATATTTAATTTTACTCTCTTATAGGCTTAGAACCCAGGTTTGTTGTTGGTGGGGCATGACCACCTTTACTTTACTGCAGACCCTAGGATGTAACATGTAAATTTTATATTAATAAAATCAGCTCTTTCATATATATAACTGTTTCATGCACCATTAGCATACGAGTAGATTTTCAGTTTTTGTAAGCATATTTTATTGCTTTGATTTAAATTCTTTAATCCTTCCTTGATTCTTAGGATAGAGTCATCTCAAATCTTGCATTCATTGGCGAATTGTTGTGATTAGGATTGTTAGCTGGCAGCCCACTCTAGGCAAGTGATAAGTCCAGATTGTATACTCTTCTCTTTGCACAATCTTTCTTCTAATAAAATTCAACTCTTTCAAATTCAATATTAGAAATTATAATCTAAAGCCTGATAATAAAAATTTAAATTTGCCAAAATATTTAGTTAAATTTGTATCTTCTTTTTAAATCGAGAGTATTCTCTTAGGAGATGTAATTAACTATAGGGGCTTGCCCCTATATGAAGTCTAGATCTCAGAATAATCTAAACCCTACCTTAGTTTTCTTTCTTAGGTAAGGGAAAGATCTGTGAAACATAGATCGTGCTTGATTTATATTTTAAAGTTTATTTCCACAATCAAAGGATAGGTAGATAATTGATCTGCTTTTACAGGCAGGTCAAATATCTTCTATATTTGATTATGGAAATAAATTCATAATTCATTATTCTAATCGGATCGATAGGATAATATGATTATCATCCTTTGGGATGATTTGTATATTCCCTATGCTGCACCTGATTAGAAGAATGAATTAGTCTTCTTTCTTTAAAATCAATAGAATGATATTAGTCTATCCTTCGGGGTGGTATAATATCCGACTGTGGATTTAATTGAAAGAAAATATTAAAATACAAATAAAATAAATCGCGTGGGAACTAAGAGCATCTTCAGAAAAATTTCTCACAGTCAACAATTAGCTAAAATTATATGTTATGTGCTATGGAAAAAGAAATATGTGAGGTTCAGAAGATATTGATTTGGATAACAAAAATAGTATCAAATTACTCAAAATTAAAAGTGCCCTCCACGATCTTTGGCAAAATAATCTAGCTAAAACTCAATATTATAATTATTTTAATAGGTATAGGCAACAACTAGATTGTTAACCTCCAATCCTATTTCATAATCGACCCAATTGAACGCGACAAAAATGACCAATAACAAATGCAGTGTCACACGAACAAGTTCATGGCCTCTCAAACAACATCGAAAGAACTTAAATCTCTTATTTCGTAAAACGAATTGTGTCGATACATTTGGAACATCAAAATTATCAAATAAATAACATTTGCAATCAATTCAATCGAACATAATGAAAATGACGGACTAAAACACAAAGTCAAACAAATCTGGTTCAAAACGTCTTGACTACAATCTCAGTAATTCAAAACATTGCTATTTCGCAAAGCAAGCTATGCCAGCACATTTGGAACGACAAAGCTACCTAGAACAGATGCCCATATTCAAGTCATCGCACAAAAAATTGAAGAAATTTAGCCGCGTACAAGGCAACGCAAAATGATTTGCATGAGCAACTAGAATTGGCAAAAGGAGTTAATAGACATTTTTTGTTATAATTTTTTTTTGAAATCAATGTTATGCCATCTCCATCCCCTCTTATTCATGCCACCCGAGCAACTGTAGTCTTCTCTCACATCCTATTTTGTTCTGCCTATCAAGTCTCAATAATTATCAACAAAAGAACAACGCAAAAACTCCCATTCGCACTCGCAGGACTTACTCTCCATTTTTTCTCTTCCTCAACTCATGCATATCTAACTAGACATTGTCATCGATAATGCTCTGTACACACATGATCTTCCTCAACACTCTATCTCTCAAACCGTCATCAGCAATCTTCGCTTACACACACACCCTTCTACCTCCCAACAACCGCACATATCTCCACATGTTCCTACCCAATTTTATGAAATCATCATTGAGAAATGAGTGTGTAAGTCGTGGCGGGAACTCACAGATGAAAGCATCGATGGATCAGTTACATGTTAAAGCAAATGACTTGCGAATTTAAGTTAAATCCATTCAATGAACGGGTTTATTAAATCCGGGACTTAAGCTCGCTCCAAGATCAATGTATAATGATGAAGAAATGGGAATTAAGACTTTGTAAGATTTAAATTGTTATTTTGGTTGTTCAACACATAAAACAAAGGAAATAGGAATTATAATTTTGCATGGTTTAAAGTTGTCATTTGTGTTGTTTAATATAATTTTAGTTAAATATTGCTGAAATACTGTTTAAATCCTGCTCTAAGCCTACAACCAAACAATTGAGAGAGAGAGAGAGAGAAAATCAACAAAAGTAAAGAAAAGGAAAACAAAAAGAGAAAAAAAAAGTGAGAGAAAAAAAAAAGAAAAAAAATAAAGGAATAAATTGTTTGTTTCAATTTCTTTATCGCAAATCCAGTCGTCCAAAACAGCAATCCAGTTGTTTACAACAACTTAGCTTTGCCTGCAACAGCACTTTGATATCATCTACAACAACAATTCAGTTGTTTATAACAGTAATTCAATATCATCTACAACAACAATTTGGTTGAATGCAATAGCAAATCTATATTGACTACAGCAACAATTTAAAATCATCTATAGCAGCAAACTTGACTGTGCCTACAAGAATATTACAACAACAACAACATCAAGCATTTATCTCACTACGTGGGGTCAGCTAAATGAATCATTTTTCTCCATTGTGCCCTATTAATAGCTAAATTCTCATTTAAATCTAATAAAAAAAATATCATTTAACCAAGTATTTTTAGGTCTACCTCTATCTCTCTTAACATAAATCAAATCTAATACATCTACTCTCCTAATCAGCTGACATTTTATTTGACCAAACAATCTATGGCAACCCTCTCTAATCTTATCTGCCACTAGAGCTACTCCAACATTTTCACGTATATACTCGTTTCGCATTCTCTTTCTAAAGCCACTCATCCACCTGAGCATCCTCATCTCTGCAACACTTAACTTAATTGTATGTCTCTTTTAATAGCCAACATTCTATGTCATAAAGCATTGCTAGTCTCACTACCATCTTATAGAATTTTCCCTTAAATTTGAGGGATACATTTCTATCACACAACATGCCTGATGCATTCCTCCACTTCAACTATCCAACTTGAATTCTATTAATAATATCCCCATCTATTTCACCATTAATTGGGACAATAAACTCGAGATATCTAAAATATGTACTCTTATTAATGACTGGATTGCCCAAACTCACAATCCCCCATTAGATCTATCACTAAAATTATACTCCATGTATTCGGTTTTAGATCTACTAAAACAAAAACCTTTAGACTCTAAAGTTGACATCTATAATTCAAGTTTACCTTCAACTCCCTCTCTAGTTTTAACAACAAGAAAAATATCATCAGCAAAAAGCATATGCCAAGGTACATTTGTTGGATACAAGCCCTAATTTGTCAGTTATCCAGATGAAAAGATATTCCATAAGATAAACATTTTGAAACCACTCTCAAGCTTAAAGATTTAACATAGTTGATAACGGAAAGGATTACAGGAACCCAAAAATAACAAGTAATCTTGGGGAAATGAGTTACCTGGGGCATGTATTTGATTGCCGTAATTGCGACTTGAATTGTGCTGAAAATTTATGGTCAACCAGCAAAATTAATGCAACATAATATCACATTGTTTCAACAGAAAAGTTCCTTGTATAAGATGATTTTTCCTTCACATTGAAAATAGAATTTTTCAACATGGCTCATTGCTATTAAGCATATATATGTCCAAAGATAGGCTTACTCAAGGAAGGTCGAAGTCTTACTTAACCACTGAAATAAGCCATAACCACGAATGCTTGGGCCAGGATATGATCAGACAAACTAAAACAATGGCCCAGGCAGCAGAACTGACCAACATGCAAATCTTTGAGACCTTTTGATTCCCACGCTGCACTTTCAAATCATGAAAAAAAAAAACCCAACTTCACTAACATCCTGAGAAGAATCCTGAAAAACTGTAAAACTCGAATCAGACAGGAAGAACTTACCTCATATATTAGAATTTGAGAAGAAATGAAGCACGTCGCTAAAACAGCATGTATTGAAAAAGCAACATCATTGGCTGCTACAGGAATCATCTGTGCCAAGGAAAGGAAAAATTTTGTTCCCCCATTTTTGGGTTGATTTTCAGAAATTACAAGTTGTGGAAAACGAGTCAAGCATTCAACAAGTTTATTGTTCCTGAATCCTAAGGCGCTTTTAAAAAAAAAACAATTCATTTGTTCTAAGAATTCATTTGAATAGCTCCTCCTCTTAACAAACATAACTAAAATAAACACCAGTAGGACACAACTATAAGAGAGAATTTGAACAAGCATCTTTCTTGACTTAATTAAACTATATACTTTTCCAAACATAAATGAGAATGATCTTATAGACTGATTATCACATTATGATCTTATATCCGTTAATTGGGCCAAATTCTAAGTACAGACTCAAATTATCTCACATTTTTCAAGCCTTAGCATATGATTCCCGGTTTCAGGAAAGTGTCAAGATCTACATACAAAACTAAATCTCTAGATTTGTGTGATCTAGGAATGCACACCTGTCAAGTTTTCTTAGATGGTGTGCAATGGTGCCAATAAGAAGAGGTGTTCGATCTAGGGGTTGAGGCAAACAATTTGAAGATCTCTCTTGTTTTTCATTGAGTAGATAAAGTGAACTTTTGATGAAAAAAAATCAAGGAAATAATATTATTTTATATAAAGGATATAGGAGAATGTATTATGAGTGATTTGGGGCTTCAAAGGATTTGGGAAGGTGAATTTCAATGAATATTCAAGAGCAATAGTGAGGGTGCAGGGATTTGGGGTCTATTTGAGTGGTCGATTTTGTGAGGAGCTGAAGGGAAAGTTAAGTTTGTAGTTATGAGGGGTGTGAGTACACTCTGGTAAGCTAAGGATGTCAGGACTAAGAATTTGAAGTTGTTTAGCATGATTATATGTAGATTTTGGTGTGTAACATGAAGAGAAGGTTGGTTGGCTAAGTTTTTGTGCATAACTAAGTGTAGAAGTGTGAGAACTTAGAAAGAATCTTCGTAACACTAAAATGAGATTTATTGATGAGAAAAATAGAAAGGAACTACACAAATAAAACAAAATAACAAGTAATAAGCATCTCACCAAAAAGGAATATCCAAGATCACCAAATAAAGGATAAGAGGTTAGCCATCAAGCTTAACCTAAGGAAGAAGACAAGACTTCTCTAAACAATTTCTATTTTGTTCAAAGGATGTTTTTACATTTCAGAGTTCATCAGATTTATAGGCATTGCATGATGAAGAAAGGAAGAAGAGGGAGGGATACAAGTTATTTGAAGCTTGAATTGAGACTTGCATAAAATTAAACTTTTTTCTTAGAAACTGAAGGGGTGTTGACCATTTAATAAATGCTTCTAAGAATATAACAGAATACTTATAGAATTTTCAAAGCCCAGTCAAGGTGCAAGCCATGCTTGTTGGCTTTGACCTAGGATGAGTGGGCAATATGAGGTGGCAAGTGATAATTGATTAACTTCCACCTTGGACAAAATGTTTAGCGCAAATGATATTTAATATTTTTGACGTTCTTACATCACGATTACATCAATATAACTCAATAAAATAGTCTTAAAATATACATTGCAACAACAAAATAATAGTATTGTAAGTTTATTTAATTAAGCCTTATAAAAGTTGGCAATGTTGTCGTTTGAACGAGGTCAGTCATCCAACCTTAGCATTTCCTTCTACTTTTCATTATATTTTACAAAACTGCTATTTTTGTGCTGTATCAGATGCCCTCTCCACGACTAGGGTTTACGGAGGATTGGTGACTTCAGGAGTGTATACAAAAATAAGGTTTGTGTGTTACTAACATCTTTGAAATTGTTGAGATATTTTTTTGTGAATAGGTGTTCTTCAACATTATGAAAGGGCTAATGTGTGTTTTTCTTTTGTACACAATGATTGTTTTTTTTTTTTTTTTTTTTATCATTTTTTTTTTTTTTTTGTTAGTAGATCCAGGATCAAATCCTCTCCTCCCCTATTGATGCAAGCATTATGAAGCCAAACCAATAAATCTTGACATCTTCTATATTTTATCTCTTTAACATTTATATATTTCTGTATGGCACATCGTTCTTAATTTTGGGACACTTCCACTTCAATTCTATCGGTGCCTTCTTTATTAGAGCATAGTTATAAAATTAACGGCCATAAATTTTGAGATCATAATGTCTGATGGGTCAAAAAAATATAACCTATGAAGAGCCAAGATGCCTGGTATTCTTATTCTGTAATGTCTTGTGAATATACTCAAACACAATGTAAATGCAATTCTTGTCGCCCATCTTCCACCTTTCCATATTTTTTAGTGGTTGAGATTAAAAGCAATAAAAACTAAGAAACTTATGTCTCTAGCTACTTTAAATTTCAATCATTCAAAATTTTAGATGAAAAAAGGAAGATGTATGAGGAGAAAAGCTCATAGCCTTCTAAAATATTGTAGTAGTAGCAGTAGTAATAGTATATATATATACTACAACAACAACAAGCCTTTATCCCACTATGTGGGGTCGGCTACTTGAATCTTTTTTCTCCATTGTGCCCAGTTAAAAGTTAAATACTCATTTAAATCTAATAAAGAAAAGTCGTTTCTAATATTTTCTAACCAAGATTTTTTAGGTCTACCTCTACCCTTCTCAACATAAGTCAAATATAATACATCTACTTTCCTAACCGGGTCATCGGAAGACGGTCGTTTTATGTGACCAAACCATCTAAGACGACTCTCTCTAATCTTTCTTCCACTAGAGCTACTCCAACCTTTTCACGTATATGCTCATTTCGTATACTATCTCCAAGAGTAAAGGCTTAAAGCCACTCATCCACCAGAGCATCCTCATCTCTGCAACACTTAACTTAATATTATGCATGTCTTTTAAAGCCAACATTTTGCACAAATCATTGCAGGTCTTTTCTATCACACAACCAACCCGATGCATTCCTCCACTTCAACCATCCATCTTGAATATCTCCATCTATTTCACCATCACTCTGAACAATAGACCCAAAATATCTAAAACGTGTACTTTTATTAATGACTTGATCACCCAAAGTCATAATCCCCCCACTAGAACTATTATTACTAAAATTACATTCCATATATTCAGTTTTAGATCTACTCAAATGAAAGCCTTTACTCTAAGGTTGGCCTCCATAATTCACGTTTACCTTCAACTTCCTCTCTAGTCTTATCAACAAGAAGAATATCATCAACAAAAAGCATACACCAGGGTACAACCTCTTACAAATGTCTAGTGAGAACATCCATGATTAAAGCAAAAAGATATGGGCTTAAGGCTGAACCTTGATTTAATCCAACTGAAATAGGAAAATACTTGGTCAAACCACCTTGTGTCTGGACACAAGTAACAACTCCTGCATACATATCCTTAATGACTTGAATATAAGCATTATTAACCCCTTTCTTTTCTAGAACTCTCCATAGCACTTCTATTGGAACTTTATCATATGCTTTCTCTAAATCAATAAATATGTATATATATGAACTAAAATAAACACTTAAAGTTCAAATTTATATCCGGTTCAAGCTGATCTAGCTGAACTTTCCCTTTTGTTAATGATTTCATATATGGAATAGAATCCAAGCTTTACGGATCTAAATAATATTCACCTAAATGAGTATATATAATGGAAAGCGTCACAAAAATTTCCGACTATAACGGGGCAAAGAACATTAAGCATAGGGAAAAAATTTTACAATGTATGAAGGAAAGATGAGGAGATACAAACCTCCCCATACCCATACTTCTCATGATACTGCCTCTGGATTTCAGGACTGAAGAAGAGCGCCGCATTATAGATCAAATAAGACGAATGCTTGGTCAAATTTAGCACCACGAAATCGAAGTTCAAACCCACCACACTTCAGCCAAAACAACAAAACCAAGTCAAACAAAGGTCTATACTCTTAGGTACATAAACTACATTAAAATTACGTCAGTAAAACATTCAGGCTCCAACGAACAAACAACAAATGGGGACTAGAAAGTAAAAACAGTGAAAAGAGGGTATAATTTCAACCTTTTACGATGGAAATTGAGGAGGACCTGAGGATAGAAGCAGATGGTCCAACTGAAGAACGCCATCCATCCGAGTACATGGAAGGTCGTTTCCAAATAAACAGAGCGCCATGCGGTCATTCTCGCTTTTCTCTCTTCCGCAACTGGCTCAATCTCATCTCGCCGTCGTCCGCCGAAGAGAAGGTCGAGCTGGTGCGGCAATTTTGCGTTTATCTGAATACTAGGAAAAGTCCCGAAAGAGTATTTTATTTTGGATATTTTTCATTCTGGTATGTATGAATCTCTTTATTGCAAAAGTTCTCGAATAATTTTCAAACCACATTCAAATAATACTCCAACGTCGATCGTACAATATTGATTGAAATATAATTAATCTATCTTTGATCATCTTCCAATAATCTTTAAACTAGAATCGAATCAATGTTGAATCATCTTGAACATAATTAAGATAGTTTGAATATTATTCAATCATGTTTTGATCATGATCGAAGATGTTCAAAGATTTTTCAATCATCATTTGATGATTAGTTAATCATTATTAAAAAAAAAAATCATGGCCAAATATTATTTAAATATAATTTGATTATCATTTGAAGATTGTTCGAAGATGGTTCAAATATTACATAATCATGGTTTGGTCAGTATTTAATCATAGTTTGATTATGTTGTTTGAAGATGGTTCAATCATGGTTTAACTCTTTTTAGTTATTTTGCTTTATATATGTTTTTTATCATACCTGAACAGAGGCATATAAAGTGGTGGCTATGATGAACAAATTGTTTAAAAATTTAAGGCTTTTGACCTCATTATTAAGGCTAATAGATCACACTTTGATTAGTTCTTCAAAACTACTGAACAATAGTTCTATGATGCCCTAATTCATCAATTATTATTAAAAAAAAGAAGATGATGATGGAAAAGAAGATAATATATTATGCTCAATATTTGAGGTAAGAGTAGGGGTGTCAAAAAGAGTCGACGAGCTTGGTTCGGGTACAACATGAATTGACCCGGGTCCAAACGGGTTGATCTAACCCGATCCAATTTTGCAAATGAGTCATAATTTTCAACCTGGATCCGACCCGTGCATGTTACGCGTTGACCCAACCCACAAACCCGGATTGTTGCCAACAGGTAAAGTGGGCATAGACGAAGCCAGTGTGGGCAAAGCCGAAGAAGGACTGCAAGAGAAGCGGGTGCGATACATCGGTCAGGCTAGCAGATGTAGATCAAATGGACGTGACTAATCACTGAATGGTGCGGTGCACCGATCCTAACCGGGTCAACTGGTGATGTGTGGGATCTGCGGGCAAGGCGCCAGCTGGCAGGTGGAGGGCATGCGAGCGAGGCTGGTGGACACGACAGAGCTGGGATTGACTGATCAAGCACGCAGAGGATTTCAAGTTAAGGTTTCTGGGTCAACCCAAACACGACACGGCTTTAGAAATGGGTCAGAACCTCGAACGTGAACCTAACAGGTATGGAAAACGGGTTGACTCGAACCCAGAATGTTTCATACCGAGTTTGGGTCGGGTCAAGTTTTGAAACCCCTAGGTAAGAGCACAACATTATGGAATTATTGAATTTACTTTGATCAATAGGATATAATTTGGAGAATTCTCCTATGATGACGAGTTCAAAAGGATAATAATTACACACGTTAAAAATACTTTCAACTTACTGCCTCCTAACGGGTTGGCCTATAATTTTGGTATGGCCAATTTATTCAATTATGATAAAACTCGGTTAAATATGATTAAATTAACTTTTGAATCTTTAATCTAAATTATATGCATCAATATTGTTAGTAATTTAGAATATAAAAAAACTATGCCATCTTTAAATTCACATAAAAGTTTTAGTACAATAATTAATCCAATTAATTAAATAATCTCAAATTTTACTCTATTCAATCTCAAATATTGTCAAATCATAGTTTTTTTTTATTTTTATCCTATTTTTATCATTCACATCTTATTGATCACATCTTGACCTTTGTTTAAACCTATTAAATGAATAATCTTAACTTTTACTAAATCTAATCTCAAATTTGATATAGAACCATCTCTTATTTGATTTTAATTTTGGCATTATAGGTGAGATTATGCTAGCATGCCTTCACTTTATTTTCTTCATATAAAGGAAATTGAGCCTAAGTTTATGAAGATTCACATAAATGTTATGGCATCCCCATTTATGTTAGATTCTAGCGACATTGTCGCAAAGAACTTACATGATTAATTACAGTCTTGAGAAAAAACATATAGTATGTTATAGACTTTGTGTTTGGTCTCAGCTCTCAAATCCTCTCTATTATAAGAAGAACCTCAATTTCATCTACCTTTTAGTTACCTATCACCCACAAACCAATGCCCAGATAAATGTTACTAATAGAATCTTTAGAAATTTCTTAAGCTGCTTGGTTGGAAAGAAATTAGAAGATTAGGATCCTTACTTGAGCACTTTTGAGTTTACATAAAATAGTACCATCTCCATCATAATCAACAAATCTCCTTTCAAGATAACCTATGTATAAAATTTAATGAGACCAATTAATGTGGCTGCCATCCAACTTCAGGCATTTCCTAATTCTACTTTACATGCATAAAAGATTTTTATGTCATTCATATTGAAAAAAATAAATAGCTAAAAATAACGCAAAGTATGTTGAAAGACTAAATTAAAATCACTCTTTTAAAGAATATGAGGAAGGTGATTATGTGTTGTCTTTTATTCATCCCAAGGGATATCCAGCATCAAAATACAAGCAATTTCAAGCTAAAGCTTGTGGCCCATTCAACATTATTAGTAAACATATACCTAATGCATATCATTTTAATTTACTATTTGACATATTAATTAGCCTAATTTTCAATATTGAGGATATTATTTCATCTAAAAGAGTTAACCAACATCCAAGTGATACAACTAACCTTTTATCAAGAGATAAATTTTAACCATTTATTGTTAACATCATCATCAAATCTCTTTGAAGTGGACTTCATTATTACATAAAAAGTATCTACAAGATAAGTTGAAGATTATAAGCAGTTAAACATATAGAAGAATAAGCCACCTATTAAGTAAACATGAGTCACAAAGGAGGATTTGGAGAAATTGGCACTAGGACTCGATGAGAAGTACTTCAATTTTAATTATATGGAAGAGGTCTAATTTGACCATAAAAGTTGCTGCAAAACATCAAGTAGAAAATCATTATGGCTCCATTATCAAAGAAAGATCAAAAGTCCATATAAGATCAATAGTCAAGTTGGTCCCACAAAAATGTCATGATCAAGATAAAGAGAGATTCATATAACATGAATTTTTTAGGAAATATAAATTTGGTAAGTTTTATACTTAAAATTTAAATATTAAATATTAATGTATGAATTTAAAATTTTTAATATTTTTCTCAATATTAAGAGGCATTTATTTTATTAATTTCTCTTGATTTTATGTATCTTATCCTTAATTTGAAGGTATGTGGATGTTTGCTTCATGATTGGAGTCAAAATTAGATAGGCTTTACTCCCTTTCCCTATTTGCTTTGATATTTCCCTAATTTTTTTAGTTTCTTTTCTTATGACCTAATACATACTTTAAATGTTTATTTTGATTAATGAAATTCAGCTTTTAAATTTCATAAAAATATGGAGATTAAAGTATATAGGCATTTGTGCTTGGTGATCAAATCTCTTTAGGTTGTATGCTTGGCGGCCTATATATTTGGGCTATTCTTTGTCTATGACCTAGGTATCCCCTTATTTCTTATGTATATTTCTCTTAACTCATCCTATTCCTTCACCAACATTCTTATCTTCTTTCAATAGATTTGTCCATCCTCCTATAATAGCTTTAAAAAAAATCTCTAAGCCTACTACAAGTGGCTGACCAAAATTAAAGCCACTTTGACCTAGTTTGGCTCTTTTCCTTCCACCATCCTCAAAATTTTTTTAAATACTATCCAAAAACTCCAAATTTCAACTTAACAAATTCCCCTAACCCTTCCAAGTCTCACTAACAATAAAAAACACAATTAAGCACATGCCTAGTCACATATTGCAAGACTAGGCATAACCAACGACCCAAGCTAAGTTCCTTGAATTATTCTTAGTGCAACATCCACTAAACAATCTTGAACCTAATGTATCCTTTTCTAAAACTCAAGATTACACTGCTAACCTTCCCATAAATTGAAATCATAAATATGCGAAGCAAATCAATTCATTTCAATAAAACAATATGATTTAAAATAAATAAAATCAATTTAAATTCATTTACTAAAATCTTAAACAACACTAATCATTGACTTACCATTTATTGCATTCAATCAATAATGAGTTTAATCACATATCTATCAATGTTAATCCAATAATATATCATTCAACATGCAAGGTGATGTTAATCACTTAAAATTTAGTACACAATATTAAAATTATACCAATGGATCCTCTAGGTCATATCTATCACTTTGCTGAATTAAACTGTAAACTCAGAGTTGTACTGGTGCTAGTGTTGACGTAACTGTTGCTAGTGCTGGTGTAGCAGACTTTGCAAGTTCTTGTTCAACTTCAATAAATCCTTGTCCATCTATCCTATTCATGGACCCTTCATTATATTCTCTAGATCCAACGAACCTCTGTCTATAGCCCTGCTTGGCCTGCTTCCCTCTCAATCCAGATCTTGCTCCTTATCACTATAATGGATAATCAATCATCTAGTATTCTTATTGTCCATATCTGAAAGATTATTCAATATTTAAAAATATTTTTAACTCGTTTGTAAATTCGAGTCGGGTCATGATCAACATGTTTAAATCCAATTCAATTTGAGGTTCGCCTCGAACTTGAACCAAAAATTGATTTTGACATTGTTGCATCATTTTTCACTATTATATAAACTTGACCCATAGAATGATCCCCATATATATTAAATGGCCATTCGGTCCCTCAAGTATTTTAAAAAAATCAAAATAGTCTCATGGTGTATTCTGATTTCTTTTAAAGGAATTGGGGGATCAAAATGGTTCTTTAATATAGTTGAAGTCCATTTTGGAACCATTTTGATCCTTTTCTCTAAAACTTTTAACTCATAATTATTTTTACAAACATAATGCTCTTTCTAATAGCTAATATTATAGGCTGCCTCTTTTCAATGTTCCTTCTATTGGTCAAGTTCAACTTTCATGTAATTTTTTTCTCCTTATGACTTATTTGGGGTGGGGGTAGGATGATCTTAGAATCACGATGTTAGCATTGAAACTTTGACTAAACTTTCTATAGTGTTTATCCAATGTTATCGCCTCTGTCTCAAAGGTCAAAGTAGAATGCATCTCATGAATAATAGTGGATGAAAATATTTTTGTGTGTCCATACACCTTTCTAGATACTAGTTTCATCTTCATCAAATTGATAATAATATTATTTGTAAACTCAACTTGCATGTTTCTTTGATCATTGTTCATAGAAGAAAACTTTATATTGACCTTATAACTTTCACATAATTCAATTTTTTTTCTATTATTGAATTGAATCTTGTTATTAGTACTCATAAATATCAACATTCCAAACATTGTAAATATCTACATATAGAGAAACTTATGTCCACTTTAATGATTATCATGGCCATAACTTTTACATATGCCAACTCCTTAAAATAGTTAACAAGTGCAAGTATGAACCTTTTGTAGCCTTTTCTAATCGGGAGAGGACTAATAAAGTCTTTTCCTAATACAATGAATATTTTAGGGATGGTGAATTGATGAAACTTTTGATATGACTGATGAAAGATTAGGAAGAGCAAGCTTGACACACCCAACATCTTCTAGCAAATTCAACGACACCTTATTTAATGTTGGCCAAAATAAGAACACCGTCTTTGTAAGAAAATTATTATCTTATGAATGATTCTCACATTCCCCATAATCCATCTCTTCTAACACTTATTGTGGGTTAGTAAGCTTAACAAAATGAAAAAAAAATTTAAATTCATCTTGGAGGGAATATCATCTAAGATAAAATACATATCCATTTAATATCTAATTGGCTGAGCATTAATTCGCCCTCCTAATAATATCTCATTGGTCAAGTAGAGTTTTACCTCAACAACCCAAATTAGGGCTTCATCCAAGATCATGGGTCTTACTTCCTTGATGAAAGACATGGTTAGTCTTCTTTATCAATATTGAATGTTGGTTTATGTACTTCACCAATAGGTTGGCTATTTAGTTCTTCTTTTGGGGTATATATTTTAATTTGGTTATATTTGAACATTTTAATATATGTTTTCTCTATCCACCATGTTAAATTTGGGCAATACACTTCATGTGTTATAGCAATCTGGCTGATGATCAATTATGAGGTATCATGGAGCTTCGACTAATTGACTCTTAATTAACTTCAATATTTGGCTAGAGTTTGATCAACATAGCTTTATGTTTTGCTTGGTTATTAGTTGCATATAATCTTAATTAAGTCTTAGGTTTTATTTGGGACGACTTTCTTATTGCTTCTTAGTTTGAGACGACTTTCTTATTGCTTTTTAAAGTAATTTTTTAGTACAAAATTAAGGTTTCATTTGGGACTATTTTTTTATCGCTTTTTAAATCAGCTTTTTAGTACAAAAGTTTCTTGATCTACAAATTTTTATACTAAGAAGCTTTTTAGAAATCAGTAAGAAAGCCATCCCAATCGTTTTGTTTGGGGTGACTTTTTTACTGTTTCTTAAAAGAACTTTTTAGTAAAAAATTATTTTTTTTTTACCAAAAAAATTGCTTTAAGAAATAGTTAAAAAGCATTCCCAAATAAAACCTAAGAAGTAGTAAAAAAGCCGTCCCAATAAATCACATAGGAGATGATAACAAGTTTAAGGGTTAAATGAACACTATAGAATTCACTATTACTTTCCATTGAAGTCATATCAATGAAAAATATATCTGATAGAATTTTAGGTGATCTTGACTTTCTTTCTTGAGGTTTGATTCAACAATAAAATCCATCAAGATTTTATGCTTTGAGGCAAATTATATGAGCAGTGCAGCTTCTCAAGATGAATAAAGAATATATTTTTATTCATCTAGAACTAGGACTTAGAAAAAAGCAGCGGCAAACAATCGGAAGCAGGGTTCTTACCAAGGTTTTGAAAATCGGATCGGACAACGGACCGGAAGAAGGAGAGGTTCACGGTTTGACCGGTTGGATCGGTCGAACCGGGGTCGAACCGGATGATGTAATAAATAATAATATTATTAAAACTTATAAATGAAAGAAAATTTTTCCTCTAATACATTCACTAATTACTAATAAAAGTTGAGGGCTTAAATTCCCAAACTTCCACTGAACCCTAATCAAAACATAAAAGATTTTCGTACCCTAATTCCTCGGTGGACGAAATTGAAAATACCAATTCAAACATAAATTTTTTTTCTTAATTACTTTCTAATAATTAAAGCAAACATTAAAAAAAGGAAATTTTCAAAAAAAAAAAAAGCAAGGAGAGAAGAGAGTCAATTTTACCAGCGTTGAATCGATGAAGGAAGAACGCAAATCCGTTGCCAAGAAGCAAGAGAATCTCCTCACCGCCGGCCAGTTCGTCAATGATGCACGCACGGACGAAGGAGGAGCTGCAATGATGAAGGAAGAGAATCGGAGGAGAAGGGCAACTTCCGGAGTCACGGGAGGGTTACGGGAGCAGTATAAAATAAAATTAGGTTTACACTTTTTCCTGTTTTACACTATTACAGTTTTACATGTTTTACTAATACCTAAAATACCGCATGATCTCAATCAAACGGCTGGAAATTGAGTTTAAGCTTAACTGGCCGGTTCTCACCCGGTTTCTGGTTCGCTGGTTTCACGGTCTGACCGGCGGTCCGACCGGTTCAAATTCGATCCTTTGCTTGCCCGGTTCCAGTTGAAAACCGAACCGGCCGGCTGACCTGGTACCGGTTCAACCGTCCGGTCCGGTCCGATTTTGAAAACATTGGTTCTTAGCCACTCTCATTATAAATATTTTCACAATAATAATAATAATAATAATTTTTCTTCTCATTCAGCGGGGCACTTCAGAAAGGTTGAAAGCTCGAAGCGGCGAATTTATTCCCCGCATTCTCGCTCTCTTGTTCGCAAACTCATTAGCGGTCAAGGTGCTTCCAAAATCAAATCTTTTTATTTTTCTTTAAAAATATCCTGAAATTTAAATAGCTTTCTGATGTTTACCATGCTGAGTTATCACCAAGTTTTTGTCTGATTTTCGTTGTTTTTTTTTTTTCCTTTAATTTTATGAGAGTTTTCTCGTCGTCAATTTGCTAATATCATGCTTTGCTTCAAGATAATCACAGGAGAATCTGGTCACTGTCGTCAATCCAGATTCCGACTGACAAGAATGTGGAATTTAGGGACATTAGGGGACCATAGTAACCCTATTCTTCAGAGTTATCAGCCAATCTCCAGAAAAGGTTCTGCTGTTTCTTTGGACCCGGCGTTTTCTTTCTGCTAGTAGCCGTAAAAGATTTCATAGTATTATTGCTAGGTTCTCATAGTAGACTGTTGAAACTATCTGCTTGAGTAGGAAAACTAATTATTTTCCTTTTCCTTGCATATTTGTTCTTAAATAATTTGAGCTTATCAAGTGTCATTCTTTTTTTGTCTATGTTTATGGTCGTAATGAACTTTTCTTCAATTCATATGGTTCATGCTTTTTTGTGCCACTTTACAATTGTAACCCCTTGTGATCAATTAAATTCACGTTCAGGCTTCACTTGAAAAAGGCTTCCGGTTTGTGGAACATGGTTGCAATTGTAGATGCAAAGAAACATATTTTCTTGAATATATAGCTTCTATCTGGGAGAATCAAGGGTGATTGTGGATTTCCTTTGAATATAGAGGCATAGAATAAATTCTATAGTGATTTCTAGGCACATTTTATTCTTAAAATGAAAAAAGAGAATATACTGCAACTTGGTTGCACATAAGTGGTTGCTATAACTTAGAAAATGTTTTATTTCAACTCGCTTCATTTATGGTTATGAGTGTCTTCAACTGATTGCTCCCCTGTCATTTGCACTCAAACTTTCTTATCTCATCCTGAACCAACAATAGAGCTTTTAATGGGGTGCAGTTGATAGGATTTTATTTTGGTTACATGGTAGTCCTTCAATCCATTTGATTTGTTATTGAACAGTAGCACTTCTCAAGATAGCAACTTGTAATATTCCCAACCCCTCTGAAGCTGGGCAAATTATTGCATCCGGTCACCAGACGCGGAGATAGGTCAGGATATTAATAAAATATTATTTAAGCGCGTCAAAAGCGCAGGTAAAGCGCAGGTCAAAACGCAGTCAAAAGCGCAACTAAAGCGCAAGTCAAAAGCGCAGGTGACGTGACAAATTTTTATTGGATGTCCGAACATATTCTCCGTGTCCGGTGACCGGATGCAATAATTTGCCCTGAAGCTGTGAGGTTTAAGCAGTTCTTGCTATACAGAGAGTTTTTGGTAATGATCGAGCAAGTTTTTATTTGTAAATCTCTTGATTGATTGGATCATTATTTATATAATTGTTTGTATGAACTTAGTTATTAGTCTGGGTTTACTTCTCCTCCCATCACCTTAATCAATTGATTCTTCATCCCATTTCTCACTTTTTGTGGAATTATCAATAAGTATCAGGTTTGGAAAACCGTCGCTTCTTTTCTTCAAGGATACCTCATCGTACAGATTTATGCGGTGTAAGTTCAAATAATATTTTTATTCAATTATTCGTTCTAATTCTTTTATTTGCATATCACAGATTTTTAATGTTTAGCAATGGATCAATAGTTCTGCGGGATGTTTGCAAGTTAAATTGTTGAAAATCTTATTTCAATGCAACTTGTCCAACTACATTCTTGTAGGATTCTGGTGCACAGTTGAGAGCTTTTGGGATGTGGAAAGTTGAAAAGATGGTGAGAAGCATTGGGAAAACATCTAAATCCAGGAGTAAGAAATATGCAAATCTCCCCCCAGAAGGATTCGAAAGGTCTAAAGATAATACTCGAGAAGAAAGCGAAGACAGTTGGAGTGCTTTTAGCAAACCTTCTATGGATAATTTGAGCAGTAATTCTTCACAGGCAAGCCCTACAAGAGATGCTGTGCTGAAGGCCTGCACCTTAACATCTGGGTTTTTAGTAGCTCTAGGTTTGCTAATTAGACAAGGTTGGTTGTTAGTTTTTACTTGTTTTGTCGGAACTTTCAAGATGTTTATCTTTTGAAACTTCCTTTCAAGTTACATCTATAATTTTACTGCACAGATACTTTAATGAAATAAATTCACCTGCAGAAACAATTTATTTATTTCTCTTGAATATGCTCTTATCTAGTCATTCTGAAATGAAAAATAATGAAAAGGTCCCACGGTAGCAGTAGGTGGATGTCGTCCTTGATGAAATACTTCTGTGCTTGTTAGCTAATTAGGTTCTTGGAACTTCTAAGTAAATAATTTGTCTAATCTCATTTCTTGAAGTTGTGTTTATTTAGTCATCAAGCTTTTTATCCCCCCCTAAGCTTAGTTTATTTGGACTAATATTGTAAAGTTGGAGAAATAGCTGGAGATGGACTTTTAATTGAGTTTCCTTGCATTTTTCTTCCTATAGTTTGTATATCCTATAAACTGGTGGATGATTCATCCTTTAGTTTTATTGCTTCACTTTATTTTGTTTCAGCATTTTCTTCGAATTACTCACACCATTCACATAATAGTAAACATACTCTTTCTTTTACAGCATCCCATGTTGCATCCGTGGAAGGTTGGTCAATCCTTGATACCTCTGCAGAAGTACCATGTGAGTTCTTAAGTATATATTTTTTGTTACAATTTGTAAGAATTAGCAACATATTTTTTTGGCGCCATGGTGTACCTTCCATTTTTATTTCACAGTAAACAAATATGAACAAGCAGTGCATTTTCTTACTTATTTTTATTAAGATGATCCAACACGGTCTAATGCAAAACAGATGCAAAATTAAGCACGCGAGATCCAGCAGGAATTTACTATCTGTCATAAGAAATTACTAATGATGAAACAAAAAATAGAGGAAACTACTTAGCATTTGAAAAGTAGTGATGAATCTCTTGTAAATACAAAGTTAATCTACATTAAATGATTGTAAAAGCATGAAACTTAAGTAATGATTGAAACACAAATATATGAGAAATCTAAATTGAAGAAAGGGAATGCAAATGTAAAGTAGATGGTATGAGGAAAAAAAAATGAATTAAGAATTGAATGACTAGGCTGACGGGATTCCATTGGCCCTTATTGAAGCATTTGGGAACCATGCAGACTCTTTATGACTAAAGAAAGCTTTATTTTTACTCAACAATTATCTCATTTGCTTAGATTATAATTTTCTATTTTTATTAGAAAGGCAAGATAAAAAGCTAGGTAGAAGCCACAAAATCTCAAAATATTTTAATCTTTCATCACTTGGAATTAATAAGATTATAAAGGATGCGCGTTGTTATCATCCTGTATATTGGCATCCGTAAGGTATGATAAGAGCATCATTCATTATACAATTGTAACAGATACAGAAATTTATGTGCTTTGCGATAGCATGATTTTTAGCTATGTTGATGGGCACATACCACATGTTCAACTCGGGGACTAAACAAAGACGAACTTTTTTTTTGTCACCATACCGATGTAGGATGCTTAAGGGCCTATTCTTTACTAATGCAATATTGGATGAGATTGTTGACCTCCACATATATGCCAAATTAGTGCGAACGAAGGCGATGATCGACGAGTGAGACTTTTGGCAAGTGCGACACTTCACTTAAATACTCAAATAGCCTCCAATCGCCTAATGGACTGTGCCGATGCAATTAGAGCGTAGAATTTACCTAAGGGAGGACCCCTTGCAACTGAATTGAGCGACGATGACCGAAATCAACAGTCTACGGACATAATGATGCGTGACGCTGCCCAAATGAGATTCGTTCGCAAAACAGGCTTTACTTTTGCGTTCGGAACGTTGAAAATACATAAGAATGGCTGTAATATTGCTTGTCTTATTTGTGCAAGCGTAAATACTAAATTGGCGTGGATTTCAATGTGACAATGACACAAATTTTGAGGCAACGACACACAAATAAAGATGCACAAAAATCAAGGAATTTTATTCCTACTCAAATCACTTAATTCCTGCTCAAATCCAGATCAAATTTCTGCTATTTGGCGCTGACGCCATCGCCTCCTGCAATTTCTGTGCAAATCCCGTGAGCTCGCTCTGTTTTATGCTATTGTTCTCAATATTAAAATGAGAACAGGGCTTCGATTCATTCTTATGCTTTCCGCTCACACTCTCTGCTTGTCGAACCAGCTCCTTTCACTGGACCGATCTCCCATAGCCGAACCTTCATCTTCCTCACCGTAACCTGCTGAACCTCATAGCTTCGATCCAGCCCTGATTTGTCTCCTCCCAATACCATAGCTAGCCTACCACACCTATACTACCTTCCGCCTCTTCACCTTACTACTGCCCAATCCAACGTAGTTTCCCGCCCCACAGCCAAACCTGCCGACCCAACAGTTCGACCCCTTCACTGTGTCGAGCTCCCTCATAACATCGAGCTACGATTCACACCCATTTGAGCAGCTCCCAACCTCCATCTCTTCTCCATGTATCCTCCTCCAAACAGGTTCACACCTCAACCCGATCTCTTCCTCCTCAGCTTCTTCGTGCTACCCACCCACAGCATCTCCACCTTCCTCCACTCATACAATTTCCCAAGAACAGCCCTCTTCCACTCTCTGCCTACCCAACCACCTATAGCCCACACCCCTTAGAGTTGAACTTGATGTTATATGATATTTTTATGCAATTCTAATATTTTATATTATATTGTTCTTGTAATATTTGGATTTCATTTCTATTTCACCCAATTTATTACTTATCATTTTATGTCTTGTGCATTTTTTTTTTTTTCATATGTATGCCAATTTGTTACCTCACAGTTCAATATAAAGTTAATGTCATTCTTAAACATATTATTTGGGTATTATATAAAAATCACTTTTAATCTTTATTTTTACTTTATGCAGTTTTTAGATTTTGAGGTTTACGTCTCACCCCACGAATGAAAAAACATCTCAATACCTAATTGCGCAATTTAAAATCTTGATTCTCTTCCTTATGGATCTAAACCTGTGTATCTAAATTCATTTGAAGCTGAACCACGCATATCTTATTATATCTATTTTGTGTTCTTAATCTCTTTTATGTTTGTGCCACATAGACTTCTCTCTAGATGATGCTTCCACATTGAAATTTGATGTTCTTGTTACAACAATAACTTTCTTCTTTTTCGTTGAATTGTTAGAGTATCCATGTGTTTAACGTGTCTAGTATTGTGAAATTCAAGAAAATGAGGTTTCTTTTAAAGGAATTGCTTTCAATTTGAAATTTACGATCCATCTAAAACTGACTTTTTTGTCGGGAAAGAAAAAGGATTTAGTCGAGTTTCCTGACACATGGAAGCGTGCTCCAACCACCTAATAAACAAATATTCTTAAGTTTAATGGAATAGGAAATGAAAAAAAAAAAAACAATATTCTTAAGTAGTCTCTGGTTCTCTGAAATGTGTAATCTTGAATTGCTTAATGTTGGGTTGATATGGAAATTTTTTTTTGTTTTCTCAGTTAATCATCTGTTATACTTCAGTTGGCTTAGAGATGCAGGACGTACCTCTAACAATTGGAACAGTTGCATTGATATCTTCTTGCCGGTATATACTATTGAAGACATGGCCAGAATTTTCTGAATCAAGTGAAGCGGCCAATCAACAAGTATGTTTAACTTCCATTTAAACGTTCCTTAAACTGGAATTTCGGGCTTTACATGCTCCTGAAATAGATGCATTCTCTAAAATGTTAACTTTTACCCAAGCTTTTGCCATGAATCTTTTGTTATATTCGAAAGCTTTTCCTATACTAGTTAGAATGCAAATGCGTTTTCATGCAAAAGAAAAAAAGAAGGAAAAATGAATACACATGCATTAAGTGCATGTAGTTTTCTAGTTTGAAGCTCGTGATACAGTTTTTAAAATATATACAAGATTTTCACGTGGCATTGTCATTTTATGTTATATTTAATGGAATTGATAAATTTATTGAAGCATCATATGATGTGAGAAAATTAATTTAATAATAAATTGTATAAAAAATAATATTGAGATTTACATCATATAAGCAAGATTGCATCTTTTTACCATTGATCTTTGCCAATATTGAATAACAATTACTAAATTTTCAACTTATGTATATATTTTTCACAGCGCATATGTATGTGAGTAGTGGAATTAGTGGTGAAAGGGGAAGGGGATTTGTTTTTATTAACTTTGAATGACATTGTTTACACTATCATAAAAGTAAAGTAGAATTAGTAAGGGACCCAAGCTTTTTTATATGAAAAATATGAATTGGGAAAAACTGTAGTGTTTTCCTAAGTTGAAATAACTTCCATTAACAATAGATATGAGCTGCAATGAGTTGGTCTTCTTTTAACTTGGAGATAGTGTCAATACAATGCAAGTGAAATTATAATTTTGCTTTGATGTAAGGTGTTGGTAATGAGGTTATGTTAAGGAAGTACTCCTTTGGAAGATGAAGGCATAGACATGAATTTACTGAACATATCGACATTAGAAGGTCTGGGTTTAGTGTGGATAATCAAGATCATCCTACTTCTATAAGTGGAGATGACATACTTGAAGGTGGCAGTGACAAGTGTAGAAAGGTCATTTTTCAGGCAGCCTAAAATTCTTCTCCACATGGTCTAGAAATTATCACAACTGCCACAAGACTTCGATTCACGAATCGTTTGTGGCACTGGATTGTTCTCCATAATATGAACATTTTGATATAAAGGTTGCAACCTATCGTCATCGATCTTCGCTTGCCCTAATTTGAATTCATGAAGATTCTCTGTATTATTTTGGAATATTCAATTGTTAGAATTTTGATCTATGAACTTCATTGAACCCATGGCACGAGGACTTGAAAATACGAAATTTTATTCATGAATTAGAGATTTCATTAGCGATGGCTATTGCCTAGCTGCTTGGTATGAATGTGGTTTTTATTTATTTATTTTTTTATTTTTTCGGTGCGAATGTGACTTGGATGGGTTGATTGGGCCAACTTAAGAATGAGATCATCTAGCCACTTTTTGATCAAGCAATGGTGCAATCTATTACATTCATTGCTTATAAGAGGGAGGAATATTTTGGTTTACATCTAGATAAGGTTCATCATAACTCCCTCAAAATTCATAAATAAACTATAGTTATACTAATTGTTTTTTAAGATTTTGAGCTTTTGAATTTGGTTTCTGTTACAGATAAGAATGGGGAATATTTTAATATGATTATGGATAAGAGCACAATACCCCATTAGAACCTATAAATAGACCCTGATTCTACTCACGAGATATGAACAAATCTTATCGTTGGTCTTCATAGGTCTTAATTGGGATCTTTAAAGGTTATCAAAATTGTTCTGAACAACCTGATTGTTAGAATTTTGATTATAAGAATACTTTAGAGATAAGTAACATGATTTATGTATACAACAACAATAACAACAACAACAAACCTTTATTTTACTATGTGAGATTGGCTATATGAATCTATTTTCTCCATTGTCTTATTAGGTCTCAAATTCTCATTTAGATTTGATAAAAAAATGATTATTTCTAGTACTTTCTAATCAAATCTTTTTAGGTCCATCTCTACCTTTCTTAATACATCTACTCTTCTAACAGCATCAAAAAAAAAAAGGCTGACATTTTATGCAATCAAACTATCTAAGATGACTCTTTAATCTTATTTGTTAGTGGAGCTACTCCAACCTTTTCACATATACAATCATTTTGCATTCAGTCTTTAAGTGCAAAGCCAGTCATCCACGTGAGCATCCTCATAATTATGTAATGAATTAAAAAAATATATAGATTTAAAGAATAATTTATCCCCAAAGGTAGGAGATATAATTTATTATCAATTATTCGGATATGACGATAACGATCATCATTGACTTTGATTTTTCCAAGGAAGAATTAATTTTTTTTTTTTTTAAGTAGATGTGGGTTCTAAATAGTCCTCATAGTTAATTATATCATAGGGAGATTGAATTCCCTATAAAAACTCTCGATTAGAATAACGACAGAAATTTTATTTTTAAAGATTTTCGAGAAGAAATGATTCTACTTTTTAAAATAAAAGGTTGAGATTTTTTTATTAGTGGAATAACAGGCCTCTTTTTACTAGTAGTTAAGATTTATGATCTGTATGAGCAAATACAAGTTAGTTTTCGGTAGAAAGTTAACAAATAAGGCCTTACGTTCTTTATGCACATGACTATCCTTAAAATTCTAACTTTTGTAGAGGTCCTAACCAATATATTTTAATTCCTTGATTATAAGGTGCTTGGCTCGCTTCAGGCTTTGGATTATCTCGTGGTGGCATTTTTGCCTGGAATTAGTGAGGCAAGTAACAGTTAATGTTTTGCATATGAAATTTGTTCCAGAATGTACGCTTCAATTATTAATTGCAGATTTTTAAGTTCAATTATCATTACTGTTCTTCTGCACCTATATGTTTTGGTGAAGATAAGACCACTTTTTCTTTATGACATATATGAATCTATGAAGCCTGTAATCCACATTGGGTAGTATATGTTCGAATATAGTTTGATACATCACTATACTGCCTATCATGTTCTACTTGAACCCCTTTCGTAATCATTTGTGCCCTCACAGGAGCTTTTATTCCGAGGTGCATTGCTGCCACTTCTTGGCCTTAACTGGAAGAGCGCTATAGTAGTTGGTGCAATCTTTGGTGGACTTCACTTGGGTGGTGGACGAAGATACCCTTTTGCAATCTGGTAATTTTTTCTTTGTAGAAATTTTTTTGGTCCTGTGCATAGTCACCTTAGATGATTTAATCACATGAAAAGTCGGCCTTATGGTGACCCAATTAGGATTGTTAATGTATTATATATGCTTTATATTAAGAAAAGGTAGAGTAGATTTAAAAAGGCTTGGTTAGAAAGTATTAGAAATGGTATTTTTTATTAGATGTAAATGAGAATTCATCTCTTAGGGCATCTCCAGCCGAACTCCAAATGACTGTAAGGTGTAGCTGGTTTGCTCCATTCGAACGGCAAAAAACTCGCTAATCGGTGGAGGGTGAACAATGTGACATCAATATTGGCGTTGCATTGTTCACCTACGCTATTTTTCTATCTCAACCGGATTTGCCGAAGAAACGCGCGAAAGAGGATAAATACGGTTACCTTCGCAGAAGCGTGCAAACTGTAGTTCGACTGGAGATGAATCACGATATTTTTCAGTCTCGCTGTATTTTGGAGTGAAAAATGGGATTTTCGGTTGGAGATGCCCTTAGTAGGACACAATGAAGAAAAAAGATTCATCTAGCCGATCCTATGTAGTGGGATAAAGACTTGATGTTGTTATTGTTGTAATAGTGAAAGTGATGTTTGCGCATCATAAACAAATGGTAGATTTTATTTTTGCTATACTTTCTGAACTTGACCAAACTGAAACTAATGTCAGATGAATGCAACAATTCACCCATTTATAGAGAGGCCTCTTTTGTAGGGCATCATTTGTTGGCTTTACCTATGGCATGGCCACAATAGTGTCCTCAAGTGTCATCGTTCCAATGGTTTCCCATTCACTGAGCAACCTTATAGGAGCCATCCATTGGCGATATAAATCTAGCTCGGAGAAGATAATTGGATAATTCTGTCATCTGCTCGTTGTAATTACATTTTTCATCACTGTAGTACTGCTTGCTGTTTGTAATTTTAAATATTCTGCTTATTTTATTACGCAACATTATAAGTTGTACAGTAAAGTTTCGACAAACATCTTCAAAATTAGAATAGTGGAAGATATGAGAGTGCTGAGATCATGTTGATACTTAGGCTTTATTTGGGACGGTTTTCTTATTGTTTCTTAAATTAATTTTTTAGTAAAAAATTTTATTTTTTTACTAAAAAGCTGCTTTGAGAAGAATTAAAGTTTTGTTTGGGACCACTTTCTTACTGCTTCTTATAACAGCTTTCTAGTACAAAAATTAATGCGGGCTTTTCCATTTTTGATCAATGCAAAGAATTTTGGGAGATAGTCATCAACTGAAGGCGACAACAAATTTGTTATTAATGCTTTAGCTTCTTTAAATTATAACAAAGGAACCTAATTTATATGCATTATTGATTGATGTGCTTTAAAATTACTAGTTCTATTATGCTCACATTATGATAGTTTGAATACCATTAAATAATAGTTTAATTGGACGCTGCTTAGAATAAGTTTGGGACAATTGTAACTAGTTTTTTTGTAAAAATGATTGTGAAGTTGTATTGAAAGAAAATTTTTGAAAGCTGTTTTTTAAAGCAGCACGAGTTCTTTTTGGAAGCAATAGCGAAAAAAGAATTGTAGTTGCGATTTGAAAAATATAATAAGAAAATCACCCTACACTGATTCATTGAAACAGGTAGCCAAAAAACTTACAGGACCTTTCCATTTTCGATCTATCATGAATAAGTTTGGGATCTTATTGCAATTGAATTATCTGCAGAAGGTTATCAACTGTCACCAATAATCACCACAAGAACACAATCCATTCTCAAAGTGGTGAAAACGATTCATATCTCTTATGATAATCAAACGGCCCACTATTTGTGAAATAATCTTGATAGCGTTATGACAATCTCTGCAAACGCGTAGATTCTTCACAATCCGAATTGGAGTTCCAGGATTCATGTTTATCAAGCCAAATGCAATGGCAAGTCTCTCACTATGGTAAGACAGAGCCATTTCTTTGTTCTCATCTTCTACATCATGAAGTGAGAATTCCAACAATGGAACATAACCCAATTGCTTCATCAATACAGATAATTTCTCCAAATATGAGTATATCTCTCTTGACTGACTATGGGACCTTTCTCCCATTCCAAATTTGTATATTTGGTGGTTGAACTCAATTAAACTAATTCCCTGTTCCTTGTTCACTCTTCTTCCTGACATCTTCTTCCTCAATTGCTCAACTTCAGTCCATCTTGACCTAGCAGCATAAATATTTGACAGAAGGACATAATAACCAGAATTCTGTGGATCCAGCTTCATTATTCTATCTGCAATTTTCTCTCCCAGCTCCAAGTCACCATGAATCTGACATGCCCCGAGTAAAGAACCCCACAAGCTAGAATCAGGCTCCATTGGCATTTGCTCTATAAGCTTTTGAGCTTCCTGCAACTTCCCGGCACGGCCGAAGATGTCAACCATACATGCATAGTGGTTCAACTTTGGTGAAATCCCATACTTTAATTGCATTGAAGCAAAGCATCTCTTGCCTTCTTCTAACAAACCAGAATGGCTACAAGCAGAGAGAAGGCTAGTGAAAGTGGCATGATTAGGCTTCAAACCAACTTCCACCATTTGATTGAATGTATTAATTGCGTCATTTCCAAGGCCATGATATCCATAGCTAGCAATCATGGCACTCCAACACACAACATCTTTGCAATTTGCAGTATCAAAAATCAACTTTGCCATAACTAAACTCCCACATTTAGCATATATGTCTAGAACTGCAGTTGCCACTAAAATGTCTTCCAGAAAGCCAGTTTGAATTGCATAACTATGGAAGCATTCTCCCTTTCTAAGAGCCCCAAGTCTACCACAAGCAAGAAACACACTCAACAGGCCGACTCGATTGGCTTTCACATCTGAGTTCTGCATGAGGCTAAAGAAATCCAAAGTCTCAATGCTATATCCATTGTGAGCGTACCCAGAGATCATGGAAGTGTAAGAGACAAGATCTCTCTTGGGCATTCGGTCAAACACCTGGCGTGCAGTGTTTACATCGCCGCACTTGCAATACATATCCACCAAAGCAGCATCCACAAAGAGATCTTGGTGACATCCAAAGCAAACGGAGTGTTGGTGAAGCTGTCTTCCCTGCTTGAGATTGTGAAGACCTGCGCAGGACTTGAGAGCAAAAGGGAAGGTGAAGTTGTCAGGAGACAGGTGTGAAGAGAGAAGGTTGGAGTATAGGAGTAGTGAGAGGTGGAACTCGCCATGAGTGGAGGATGACCGGATCATCACATTCCAAAGAAAGGGACATGGATTTGGTATGATGCGGAAGAGATAAAGTGCAGAGTTGAGGAAGCTGATAGATATGTAGGATAAGGTGGCGGCCGTTAGGATGGAAGGAGAGCATTGTAGGCCTTCGGTGAAGATCTTGGCATGGAGTTGTTTGAGATGGCTGGGATGAGAGCATGATTGAAGAAGAGCAAGGAAATGGGAGTGGGGAGAGTTGGAGGAGGAGGACACGGATTTGCAGGTAAGAAAGGGCAGAGCTTTAGAGGAGGAGAGGGAAATTAAACGGTAGGGAATCATGCGAGAGCCAGGATGCGAGCAACTAAAATATGAAGTTTTTTTGTGCAAATGATCATTTGATTATGGCTATATTTTAGGAAAAAAATTGAGTTGGATATCTGATTATGTTAGGATTGATTTAAAATTATTAAGTTTATTTCGAAATTAATATTATAACTGAATAATATATATTTTACTAATTTAAAAATAAAATAAGTTTGATTTTCTGATGCATTTTATGTCAGAGCGGATTTTATTATACTAAATAGATGATAATGAAAATGAAACAAAGAGCAAATTATGTTCAAATCAGAATAAATTAGATCCATATATCAATTGCTTTTTAAAACGGAGTTGAAGTACAATTTTTTTAATTTTTATACTAAAATTACGTTTTCAGAAGCAATAAAAAAGTCGTCCCAAACGAAGCCTAATTAGTGGAGATTAAGGCTTTGTTTGGGATGGCTTTCTTACTGCTTCTTAAAGCAGCTTTCTAGTACAAAATTTTTAATTTTTATACTAGAAAGCTGCTTTAGGAAGCAGAAAAAAAGCTATCCAAAACGAAACCTAAGTTTTATTTGGGATAATTTTTTTTTTTACTGTTTTTAAAAGCAGTTTTTTTAGTACAAATGTTTTTTGTTCATAAAATTTTTTATTAGAAAATTGTTTTAGAAGACGATAATAAAAATATCTCAAACCAAGGTACATCTTAATGTAACAAACAATTTTGCATCAATTAGGTCGACATGCACCAACAACTTGAATGAAATGAAAACAAAAATGATTCGATATATCAATTGCGTGACTATGAGCTTATTACAATTTTATCTAAAATAGTTCTATGCTAAATTGTAACTTCAAATCAAAACTAACTTTTTACTATAAAAACTATCACCGTAAGATCACTAGCAACACTCCGCCAATAAGATAGTTCTCCTGTAATTGTTTATTTGCCTAGTGCTGTCAAAGGCATTAAGGCACAATGATGTGCCAGTCTAAAACAAATATTTAGAGGTGATATATAATAAAAAATTTGTCTTGGTCGGGCACAAAACTGGAGGCAAAATTGAGTTGGAAACTTTAAAAATTAAATTCGGGACCATTAGAATTCTGCTTTCAGCAAACTTATAGTCGAACTAGGGGTGTAATCGAGCCAAGTCGAGCTCGAGCAGCGGCAGCTCGGCTAGTCTCTCAAAAGAGCAGCTCTAACTTGAGCTCGTGTCAAGCCCAAAAAACGAGCTTGAGCTCCACTCATTCATTTTCCTCAAGCTCGACAGCTTGGTTGTTTGTCGTCGCTGGAGAAGAAGGAAGATCACCATTGCCGGAAAAGAAAGGTAAAAAAAAAAGAGGAAGGACTGCGGATTGTGGGCCATCATGTTTTGTTTTGTTTTGTTTTATTTTGTTTTTGAAAATTATGACCGCAAGTTTTAATTAGTAGCTGTTTTTTGTTATTTTGGGGGAATGCGTATCCATCCGCCGCCACCACCGAAAGAGCGTTTGGCGGAGCGACTAATCCTCGGCTGACCTAGAAGAGGCACCCACCCAAAAAATCTCTAGCTATTTAAAATAGGCTATTGGGGCTTATGCTGTAGCTTTTTCTCGTAAAAATAATTAAATTATTATTATTTTTATTATGTACAACTATTATAAAATATAACTATTATATTAACATCATATGATAAATGTCATAAATTGTTTTAATTAAATAAATAATTAATTACGAGCCGGCTCACGAGGCCTCCCTATCTCAATTGCGTGACTATGAACTTATTACAATTTTATCTAAAATAGTTCTATCATATATGCTAAATTGTAACTTAAAATCAAAACCAATTTTTTTACTATTAAAAACTACCACCCTAAGGTCAACGGGCAACACTGCGCCAATAAGATAGTTCTCCTATAAGTGTTTTTTGGCCTAGTGCTGTCAAAGGCAATAAATTGCTATTTGGCACAATGATGTTCCAGTCTAAAATAAATATTTAGAGGTGATATATCATCAAAAATTTATCTTGGTCAGTCACAAATCTCGAAGCAAATTTGAGTTGCAAATTTCGAAATTAAATTTGGGACCATTCAAATCCTGCTTTTAGCAAATTTATAGTCGAACTAGGGGTGTAATCGAGCCAAGTCGAGCTTGAGCAGCGGCAGCTCGGCTAGTCTCTCAAAAGAGCAGCTCAAGCTCGTGTCAAGCCCAAAAAAGGAGCTTGAGCTCCACTCGTTCATTTTCCTCAAGCTCGAGAGCTCGGTTGTTTGTCATTGCTGGAGAAGAAGGAAGATCACCAGTGCTGAAAAAGTAAGGTCGAAAAAAAAAGGAGGAACCATCGTAGAATATGATGTACTATAAGGTCAATATTTTGAAGAAGAATGCCTTACCCTAGCATACACTAAAGAAGGGCTAGTCGGGATGTGTCTTTGCGTGAGGAGAATAGCGAGCGTGATGTGCAAGCGGACGTGATTTTAGGTTCCGACGGTAATGACAGGTGTGCTCCTCCGACAGTAGCTGTGACGCTAGGCAATGGTTTGCTCCACTTGAGAGTCACGGACGTCGCACACAAAAGAAGAGGGGAAGATGGAGACATGAGCTTCAGATTTAGGAATTAGAGATTCTATTTAAGGCGGGGATCAATTAGTGGTTAAAAGAGGTGCAAATTGCACCGGTTAAAACCGGTGCTAATTGCAGGGTTTTGACAGCGATTCAAAAACTGCTCCTAACATCTGCTGCGAAAAATTCCGTTTGTTAATAGTGATTGCATCATATTATTAGGCTTACAAAGCCTTCCTAGCTATAACTAAGGATAAAATGCATACAGTATCTTAGGAGGACACCAAGTTTGCTAAGTTGGAAGAACATATATCAAACTGCTTACAGGCAAAAGTTTTTTACCATTGTTAATAAATGAAAATATAAGTCAAAATGTTGTATGTTAAGTGTTAGTCTATGTGATTATTATTGCCAACAACTTCAAGCTTGATTTTAATTAATTTTCTGTAGGTGATTATATATTAGGCAAACTAATGCACACGGTTGATGAAGATGATATTTTAATTATAATTCTATTGTACGTAAATCTTCTGAGTCTCTCTTAGGTTGAGTTGTAAAGAAAAAGGCGGTCATAGATCCATCAGATTAGAGGCATGAGATGTTAGCCCATCTCTTATCATAGATGTTTTGTTTGCATGTGACTAACATAGTTCATGTTCTTGCCTACGATATCGTTCTGATTTGATTTACTTCATTATTTATAAATCTCATTTTTTTAGCGCAAGGCTTAGTTCCTAGTGTTATATTATTATCGCATCTATCACAAAGCATGAGTTTTGGATTTAGGCTTTATTTGGAATTTTTTTTTTACTATTTTTGGTGTAGTTTTTTTTGTATAATAATTGAAAATATGTATAGGCTATTAGACCTAAAGCAATTGTCTCAATACTAACGAAGGGGGAGGTGAATTGTTTATTTAAAAACTCTTGAAAATATTATACAAAACTGTTTCTATAATTTTAAGCACGATAATAGTTTTAACAAAATAAAACTTTTCAACCACAAAATTAAAATTGCAAAAAATAAAAATGTAGTAAAGTAAAAACACATAAATTTATAGTAGTTCGATCCAACTAGACATATATCCACTTCTTGAAGACTCCCTCTTCAGGTATTGCACTATTATCAAAGTGACTCTCATTTTGCTCTCACAGCAAGACGTATAAGACTTTACAAAACACTTCTCTTCCACCAATCCCCGATGGGGCAGAGTATCGTCATCCTTTCAAACTCTCAAAGTGTCGGCAAAGAAATGTCATATTTTCACACTCTCCAAGTGTCGGCAGAGAACCGGCATCCTGTCACACTCTCCAAGTGTCGGTAGAAAATCCTCATCCTTTCACACTCTCCAAATGTCGGCAGAGAACTCTCATCCTTTCACACCCTTCTGGTGTCGACAGAGAACTGGATCTTTTTCAAAGATCTTCTCTCTAGCAACTTCAAAGAAGTAAGGAAAAGATTTGACAAGACTTGCAAAGAGATCTTCATCTTTGGGCAACCTTGTGAACTCTTCACAAATTCTACTTGCAATGTCTCTCTCCACACTCTCAAACTCTCTACCAAAGCACTCTCACGCTTGCGCTCAAAGAAAAAACGGAGAAGAATTCGTCCACAATCAGTTTTTAGGACCTTATATATAAAAGACACAAAAAATCGTTCAGAAAATTAAAATTTCAATTTAATCGTCCATGATCGTACAGTACGATTGACGATCGTACGTACAAATAGTTCAAAATTTGCTCGTTCAATCCAGATCCAATACGAACCAATTTCGTACTCTGATTGACCTGTGTATGAACTAACATCGTAAAGTACGATCAGTTCAAAATTGAACAGATTCGTCCAGTACGATTCAGTACGAAATGATTTCATACTATGAAAAACATACTTTACAAAATCCTTATCGTACAGTACGATGTGTTTTAATCAAATCATGTTTTATTTGGTACGGAATTGGACGAGTCCATTTCATACTCTAGAAGTCGTCTATACGATTCCAGGATTGTACAGTACGAACAGTTCAAAAATTTTACCTGTTCGTATGGATGAAAAGATACATAAATATTTCGTACTCTGGACGTCGTTTGTACGAACCTAAGATCGTACAATACGAATACTTCAGAAAAAATTAGAAGTTCGTTAGGATGAACTTGTGCGTATCTATTTCGTACTTTGAAAGTCATATGTATGAAGCTAACTTCGTACAATACGAACAAGACTTAAAAACTTTTCCTGGCATGGTTTGATTAACTGCTTTATGGAGGAACACTCAATCCAAATCATCCCGTACGATCCAAAATTGTACAGTACGATTAGTTTTAAAAATTTATAAATTTTTATACTCCCCCAGTGTGTGTGCATGGTTACCCAATTACAATCACACTCTCTTAAACTCAAGAAAAATATAAAAAGTACATACTTAAAAAATAGTAAACTCTAATCTAATCTGACTTGAAGTTTTCAGAAGTCATTCCTGAAATGTTAGTACACACAAACAACAAAGGA